ATTGTGGCGGTAATGTAGAGGTGAAACTAAAGCAGAAAAGTTTGGTATATACACCATACCTAGTTTCTTGTTTTCATAAACATAAATGCTTAGATGGCTGCCTAGTCTTTGGTTGACAAAACTATATTTTAGATAATTGTTATTGTTGTAAAACAGGAACCTATGCAGCGTTTTTCACACAAAGCTATAGTTTGTGGAAAAAGCTGTTTTGCTCCGCGTCTTTTGCTCTGCAGCAGGACAGAGATGGTGTTCCCAGCACAGCACTTTAAACTGAGCCTACCAGGGCACCGGCAGTAAACCACTAATAACTGAAAAAGATAAGGAGCAGTCAGCCAGATCAATAGCTGAGCGCATCACTGGCTAATCAAAGCCTTCAACCCACAGGAGAGACTGACACAGAATGTGTTTGTCTCTCAGGATAATCCAGGTGTCGGCTCGGCTGGATTACGAAACCAGCTGCAACCTACCGCTATTGTCATTGCTGAGACTGAAACGGCTACTTCCAAATATCTGTTTCAAAGCATTATGTTCACATTGCAGTATATAAGGAGGTTCCAAATAATAAAAATGAAATCAGCATTTGTCGGAGGTTATATTATATCTCACATTATGGCACATTAGGAACAAAACACCTTATTTTCAGTCAATCCAGTTGATTAAGTGTTTCATTCAGATTTTAATTGGTTCATCAATAGGACCTCTTGCAGGTGAAATGAAAATTTTAAACAGGAATCATGATCAATATTCTCCAAGAAACACACCTACTGTGCCTCACTCAAAACAATTCTTAGAAAGCCATTGGCTCTTCTCATTTATAAACCATCTTCTTCCCCCCCCCCACCATCCCACAGAGGAACACTTACAGTCTGTTTGTTCCCTGCTATCCCACCTTTTCCGTATGTATTCTGTTCCAATTATCTCATGCGTTAAATCTGTGTCAGGACTGGTCCTATGCATATTTTATATAGCTAATTACCGCATGCGTTGAGCCTATACTGTTGCTGCTAATACTCTGCACGAGTTTTTATTCTATAATAGCAGCTCTTGACGTTGCTTGGTCTGTGCTGGCTGTGGCGTCTTATCTGCTGAAACCACACAATGACACATAATCTACTTAATTGCCTACAATGTGTCATAAATATTATCTTTTTTAATGATATACCGTATTACATGTTTGGGTAGGATCATCCAAGTGAGTAAGCACAGAAAAGTTCCAAGAGGTTGATTTGTATTATGCAAAGAATCGAACAGAAAGTACAGGCCTTTTGTGCAAAGCCTTAAAAGAAACAATCACAATAAGTTCATGCAGGGAGAAGAAGAATTCAGTTGCACCAGCAAAGATAAAAAGAGTGTGGTGATATTTCTGTGTTTGAAACTGACTCCACAGGAGTAGAGTTGCTTGTCCTTCATGAGGGAAAGACAGTGACAAATATCCATTTAATTAATTAGAAGTCTGATTGAGACATTAGCGCATAATTGAGGTCGTAAAAAGAGGTTTAATGAATGGAAAATTAGAAGTCATTACCCCCACCCTAATGAGTAATTTATTCCATAATAATACACAATTCATGATTGCGCTGCTGCATATTAAAAAATATGACTGACTTGGCTGTTGTTGGATAGACAAACAACACTGATTGAACAAATGTACATCTGCCGGTCATTCATTCAACAGTACAACACTCAAAGCGTTTACATCGGCGAGCAGTAAAGCATCCTTTTGAGGGAGCTTTTATGCGTCTATAAAAAGGCGGTTGCTTATAAATGAGACTACTAAACGTCATCCCGCCTCATGTAAACTGACGTTAGCTTTTTACTTTTGCCAATTGCATTCACACTTGAAGTGGTGTTCATTTGTGGAGATTATCCTGCTGAACAAAATGTGTAAGTATCTGAAACTTGTGTTTGCCACAGGGGTTATTTTCTGCAATAATCCAAAATCCAATGGACATATCCCATTGGCGTTTTGCTTTTTGCGATGCCAGCTTTCATGGTTGGCCAACAAAAATACTTTATTCCTGCAGCACTCCATGTTTGCCAAACACATTCTCAGTCCTCGTCCTCAAAGTCTTGTATTTTGTCAAATTGAGACATGCTGGAACTTAGTAAAACATACTGATTTCATGATACAAGAGTAACAAGGATTTCAACCAACTCCCATAGTTTGCGTAATTTGGCTAGCTAGCTCTGTTTGAAATCCATGACCCACTGTTTCAAAATGAATCACACATTTCAAGTAGAATGGACAGCTTGAAAGGCCGAGAAACAGTAACGGGGACGGGGTTTATAGTAAATTGTCAGTATTTTTAGATTGATTGTCATCTGTGTTCAAAACTCCCATCAAATAAGCCACAGAAAAGCTACATTTCCACATATTTTTCTTTCTTATAATGGAGCATCAGCTGAGGAACTCCCAAGTTGTTGTTTTTTTTTATAATGGCCCACGGCATAACCACACACACACACACACACAAAATGTCACCCGTTTTCCCGTAACGTCGTCTAAGCCGGCGTCTCAGAAAAAAGCACCTGACTTTGTTCTAGTCCCGCTCGTTCGCAGCTGCTTCAAAGGCGCCGTTAGATTAAAGAGAGCCAGGATACCACGCTTCTTCATCTGCACTACTGTGCCACACTGGGCCGCTCAGCTGTTGGAATTTGAATGAGACAGATCAAGATGAGAAGACTGGGAAAAGGAGTCAGGATATAAAGATTTCACATAATCGTGTTTATGTTGTGTTTGGGGGACATCCTGCTGTGAGGACAGCTCCAGATTTGACAGACTAAACTGTTGTAAAGTTTCCAACAAACACCAACGTAACTCTTCCGCAAACACTACTGGATGAACAACCCCCCCCCCCCAGGTGTCTTCCTCGTGGAGTTGCAGCACCTTCACACTTTCATTTCTAACAGGAAAGTCAATGGATGTCACCTGGACTTTCTGCAGTGTTTATTTTTCTTTCACTCTTCCTGTCAGTTTTTCACTCAGGTTGTTTGTTTGTGTAAATTTGCTGGTGAGTTTTTACTTCAAACTATCCTTAAAAACATCTATGAATGTGACATCCATTAAAGGAATAAAAATGTTGACATTTTGGGAGATTCATTCGTTTTTTTGCTGAGAGTTTGTAAAGATTGGTATGAGAGAGCAATCCAAACATCTTTTCATCGTGACAGTATATTTGCCAAAATTAAAACAAACTTTGTCTTTGAAATTCATGTATTGAATGTGAGATTTCAACTTGTGATCAGAATCTGCTGATGGTGACCTTTGCATGGACCCTTTCCACTTTGTCTGCATCCATCCAGCGGCGACCAATAAAGCATTTTATTCATAACCCCATGTTTGAGCATCTAAAATATAGACTTTTCTATTTTATGTGCCAACGTCATAGTTATGACACATTAAAGCAAAGGCAGGGCTCCTTTGAACAAGCGTAATCCATTAACTGGCGTTAAGGTGGTGTTCTCTTTTTACATCTGGTCTTGATGCATGAAGCTTGCATGCAACCTAAGCCTCAATGCCTTAGCATTAAGCTATTTATCATGGTCATGCTATTGTGCTTCATGTGTGTATAGAAATACAAGCCTTTTTCAGCGTAGGCAACCACACCACACCACCATAATTGATCAACATCCAATTAACATTGGGATTAATCATTTATAATACTAGGTTGACTGCACCGAATTTTTCCTCAGTTCTTGGGCCACTTCTGTCGCACAGAAATAACCGGTCGGATATTATACAGGGAGATGGTTAGCTGTGAGAAACGTGGTTGGTGCAGCGCTTACCTGATTTAATGTTATGCATAAAAGCCCCGGCGATGGGGTTGCCAGTCTGACGTCGCTCATTAATTCTTCAGTTCAGTGGGCTGTGGACAGACGCAGCAGATTGACAGGGGATGAGGAGACTTCTCCGGCGTCTCCTCAATGCTTTGAAATGGGAGTATAGTTTAGCTTTCATGCCTCCTATTGCTAAATGGACATGCACCCCCCCACACGCACACAGCCTCCCTGCACCCGTACCCACCCCCCCCCCCCCCCACACACACACAAAACACCCTGTCACTCAGTCATCCCAGTGTGAATACATGAATACTGTAAACTATAGCGACAGGGTAAATTGCTATGTGCGCTATCAAGCCACAACACATGAAAATGCTTTATGACTTCCTGAGAGTGTGAATATGGAGATCAGGAGGTTTGGTTTGGTACAGACTGCAGGCAGGTGGGCTAGTTTTTTACAGGTGCGGCAATCATTGCAGTCTGCATTTAATTCTCCCATGTGTTCAATTAGCAATCATTTTCTTTATAATCACTCACAAACAGAATCCATGTTTTTTAGAGTTTAGCTGATTGCACAGTATCGATCAGTGGCAGCACTTATGTAGATCTTCCTGCATTATGCAGCTTAGATAAATAACCTGACCGCCTCTTCTCGTGTATTCCTAGCCGGACACCAAACACACGCACACACACACACACACATATGGTCAGATGTGTTGTTCTCTGCAGGAGACAATACATTTTCTTCAGAAAGAGCATGTTTTATTATAGATATAGTGTTGCTGTTGTGCCTCTCACAGCAGTGTAAACTGCTGGCCCCCGCATGCATAATGCATGGTGACTGAGCCACATTTAAACTGAATTACTGAAAACTTTGGAGCTCTGTGTGTTTGACTCTAAGCACTGGGGAGGATAGCAGAAACATGAAACTGATAGTGTCAGGTAAGTTTTTTTTGTATTTTCACAGAAAATGTGTCTTTGGCATTGAAAAGGCTGAATAAAAAAAATGTTTAAATAAGATTCCACAGACTCTCTGAAGCACAGTGGTAGGGCTAAACATCAGCATGACGATGCTTGCAAGTGGGTGTTTAGCAGGTGTAATGCTTCCCAGCTTGGACAAATTACAAGTTTGACCTGATGATGTTGGAAAGGCACTAAATTTCTTTGCAATCCATCCACTAGTTGTTGAAATATTTAAGTCCAGGAGATGAAAAACAAATGTCATTGTGAAGATTTATATAGATATCAATAAAAGACAAAATTATCAAAAAGATGTTTTTTTCTTAATCTTTTTTATCATTAGTTTTATTACAAATACCACCATCAACAAATACTGAACTCAAGGCCTCTTCAATGAACTTTACAGTGAAAAGCAACAGGTTTGAGTTGATACATTTCCTGGACTTCCCTATGAAGGGTAGCCGCTTAATGTTAAACATTTATCAGACGCACCATACAAATTCATTTACAATAAATAGAAATAACGGTAAAGAATATAAATATGAATCTATTTAACATTTTAAACATAATTCACGCATTTATGGTTTAGTAAGGGTTCAGGGTCGACTCGAGGGTTTTGACTGAGGTAAAACTGTTTTAAAAAGCCTTCCCAGCTCATGAATAATATGAGATTTCGAGATAGCATAATTATATTTTCAGTGCTTTCAATTTTTCAGATGACTGACTCAACAGACATTATCAACACAATGAAAGAAGTGTTTTATGAGATGAGTTCAGTGATTTCACAAAGTTTCTAATTTCTCTTGTGTTGGTCTGGCATACAATACAATCAAATAGTGTCAACTCTGATCTTGATGGTTTGGTGATACATAACATAAATAAGATAGCACAAATAAATGTTCACAGAAAATTTGACATTCAGTGTAAAAAAATGCTTACAAAAAGTTTAGCATTTACAAAGTGTGAAAAATATTGTATTTTCCCCCCGATTATAAAAAAATGCCACTTTGAACGAGGCAAGTGAAGTTGCTTCATATGCAATGAAACAAGAATATGGAGTACGGAGAGACAATACATAGTAGTACATGAAGTTATCGTGTTGGTTCAGCACTTTTTTCTGTGAATCAGTTTGAACCAATATGCTACCAAAAGCATCTCCTATCAAAAGCCAGTGCATTACCAAAACGTTTTGAATGGCTGAGATCTTGTAATGATAGAGTATTACAATTCAAAACATTCTTGAAGTAATAGTTACAAAGTTGCCTTGGGAATGCTACAGAAGTCCTCCAGCAGTGACATTAATCAAATTTCACAAACAGACAATTGTTTATTACATAAAGCAGTAGTTCCTGAAATGCAGGTTCAGTGTTCAGTACTTAGAAATATGCAGTACTGCTTGTGTCCGCTAGACAGTTGTGACAGATAGGAAAGCGTTATGTACTTTGGAGCCCTCTGGGACTCGAGCCCCATGGCTCATCAGCTCCTGGATGGTCATCCAGTTATCCAGGATCTTTTTGTTTCGTTTCTTCATCATCTTTTTGTGACTGAGCTCCAAGATATTGACCTCCTTCCTGCCCTCAGCTCCACTGGCTGGCCCCTCCTTTAGACACTCGAGGCGGCTCTTTTGCATGAACTCCCTCCTCTTTCTTTGCTCCCTGGCCCGAGCCAAGTGCTGCTTCCTCTCCTCTTTGCTCCAGTAGCGGCCCATCTTCATCTCGCTCATAGCATCGTCATCTGTGGTCATGCCTCCGCTCCTCTCTTCTCTGATCCTTAGCGCCCGCTCCCTCAGAATGCGGTCGCGAGCAGGCCTCCGGGCCACGTAGCGCGTGCCGTCAGCCCGAACTTTGACCTTCCACTCTAGACGGGGTTCCCCAGGGCGTCCCGTCCGGTGAACGGGATCTCGACAGACACTGAGCAGACTCAGCTGACTCTGGGAATACTCCAGGGATGAGTGCTGCTGTAGCAGCTGCATGTAGCTCTGCAACAGAGAGAACATTGTTAGCAGGGCATTGTCTTCAGACGTGCCTCTCTCAAAGGCATATCAGCATTAAGCTTAGTTTATACTCGGCATAATCAAGCCAGCGCTACGTAATCAAGGTCTGGTGCATTGTGCGGGTAGGCCCCGCCCCGCAAGTGGTCGTGGCGCTTCACTGATAAAAACACTATTTACATGTCCAGGGATTATACAAAATAGGTCAATTCGTTTTAGAAGCAGGAGGTCTTAAAACGCTTAATTTGAGTATATATTTTGCCAGCCAAATCAACCCTTGTTTCTTTATAATCTATGTAATACTTGACTTGTTTATTTACAGGGCTTGTACAAAGGCAATAAAGTATTCCATAAATATGAGATATAAATTGACAGATAATTACAATCCCTCCTCGGCATTGTGGAGGTTGGTTTATGGCTTTTTTGCCAATTACACCTACAGTCTATGGGCAAATCTATGGGTTACAATCGTTGTCTTTTTGATTCTTCACAGTTCATTTTGTTTGTACGCCCTCTGGTGTTTTGGAGAATAATGCAGCGCATAGAGTAGACACGGCTTCGTTCATGCTCGGAGCTCCAAACAAAGCTTAAGGGTTGACACATCTCTTCTTGATCAAACCTACCTGAAGTTGCCTGGATCCTCCCTGGCCTTGATAGGGGGTTGTCTGATAACAACCATATGGAAGCCCCCTCCTGGAATCTCTGCTCATTCCTTTTTTCTCACACCTCTCATCGTCTGCAGGCAGTGAAGGGTCTGACTCAGACCGGGAAGGGTTGCTCTGGTCTGGGCTGCTGGAGATAACAGGGCCTGGCTCTGCCGGTCGGCTACGACTGGGTGTACTCAGGGGATTGGGGATAGGGATGGGGCTGTAGGGTGTGGAGGAAGCCAGTCTTAGGTTTTTCTGGTTGGTGATGCTGATGCGTCTATTCAGAGAATGATCAGGAGATCTCTCCATTCCTAGCGGTGTCGACCGCGCACTCTCCGCTGTGTTGTAGGCACTGGAGCTGTCCTTTTCCCGAATCCTGTCGCTGTCCGATCGCTCAGGGTATTCATGGATGTCGGCCAACCTGCCTTGTCGCTTGTTTCCGTCTTTGGGACTTTGTCCTGGTGACGCGGGTTGCGAGGGGTCCAGCTGGTGGGCCTGGCGGAGCTGATGCGCCTGCATGATGCTCTGGCACTCAAGCTCAATGCTGCACAGTTCCTCATTTAGCATCCTCAACTCCTGCTCCACTCCGCCAACACAATCTACGCCATCTTCTTCCACTCCTTGCTCAGTGACACTACACTCTATGCTGTGTCGAATGGAGTACACCCCACACTCGCCTCCATTCCGGATTTGACACTTGAGCTCCAGAAGTTGCTGAAAGCGATTCTCAGAACCTAAAACCCCTCCGCCACCATTGCGAATACTGATTACCCCTTCATGGCCTTGGCATTTGGACAATGTCCTCGGACCCTGGGTGTCCTGTGGCACTACAGTCCCTCGTCTTGAGTGTGGATGCTCTACCCGCCAGCGCTCCCTCAGGCATTGGGCTGGGCTCCTCCTGTGGAGTCTAGCCAACAGTGGTTGGTGATCTGGACTGTCTGTACTGTGACCAAACCCACTGTCTTTGTCTTGATTGTTGGAGGAGCACGTGGCTGTGTCTGTTGTCATATCTTCTTCAGCTAGATGCTGGTGCATGAAGAGAAATAAAAACAGTAAGTCCTCCTCAACGGCACTTGAATTCATGCAAGAACTTATGTTTGTTGCAGATCATGATGTTACAAAGTGCATTGTGAGGGGAGAATGATAAGCCAAGTGTCCCTTGGAATTACATTCATAATGGACAATTCTTACCATTTACATCCAATGCCAATGCAGTAAGTAGTGTGCCCTATATGTAGAGAGCCTGAAAGTCGCGTTGTGAATGTCAGGGTGGTTGATGGGCGTGTAAGCACGTCTGATTTTCATGCTGGAGACCAGAGTTTGTGTCTTGTCATAGACCTGCAGTTGACACTTGCCATTTTGCTTACCGTAACTAACCCAACCTGGTAGCCCAACCGTAATCATACTTTTTTTTAAGCTGGCACTGGATTTAAAAAACTTCATGACTGAATGTGATCCAGTTGTGTATAATTTTGTCTCCAATTTTGATGCATTTCTCTCAGCTTACGCCCTCACCTCATCTCCCCTGTCAAAGTTACGTTCCTTCTTTTTCCTCCTCTCCTCCAGGATTTCCATCTTCAGCTCCTCCACAAGCTCCTGTTGCTCGTCATCCAGCCATACCTCCTCCTCCAGCTGAAATCACAACATCTTGTCAGAAACTTGTCTTTTGCCGTGTGTGTTTGTGTGTGTGTGTATAGAAAGAAACTCCAGAAAACCCTGCTGACAGCTCGAAGGAAAGCAGAATGCACTTAGACAGCTAGTTGACATGACATAGGATTTCAAGAAAGGGCCGGGAGTGTAGGTGTGTGAGTGTTTACCTGGATTTCTGGTCTTGTCACCAGTAGTATGATGCTCCTTGCTTCTTCACTTGACAACAAGGCAACGGCTTTCTCTCTGTCTTGCACTTCACAGCCATTTATCTGTACATCAAAGACAAGTATAAATGGTCATGTTAAAAGGACTGAACTTTTAGCGAGTCCCAACCACACATCAAAGAAAGGACCTGTAATTTCATCATCATTCATTTAACTGACATGAATGAAAAGATAAGTGTAATACAACTAGCCCTTGTTCCTTGCAAGACACACCTTGAGAAATCACACATCTCTCCTCTTCCCCTCTTGTTGCTGCCCATTTTCTCCCGTCATTAGTCTCTTTTCACACCCTTCTTTCTCGGATCTCTCCGTCTTTCCCCTTTCCTCCATCACTTCCTCCGACTCCACACAATCCCTAGGAAAGGCTCCATGCTCGGTAAGGGGAGTCAATTGCAAGTGCGTAGTCCGACCTCACGAGAGTCTGCTGTCAGCGCACATCCAGACACACAATTAACTGTTCTGTGACAGGTGGCATTCATCTTTTCCTCACTAGAGTAATGGGTCTGTCAGAGGAAGATAATAGGGCCAAGCAGTACAACGGGCCCCGCTCCCCACAATCATTCACACTACCGGGATACAGAAACACTAGTGAGAGAATGGAGGTAATCAGAGTGCCATGTACGATAAATATGGAGGAGAGGTAATGTTGGCACACTGCTGTTCAGACTGGAAGCAAGTTGAGGACATGCAGTAAATGTCCATCAAACTATATTTTAGCATTTCAATATTTTTCTCGGAAAATCTACACATATATTTGTCTTAGTTTGTGCTATTTATGTTACTTTTGTAATTCTTTATTCAACATATCAGGTACAACTAACATAATGGATGCTCACATAATGATTTTAAATAATATAGTAACAAACATGCCATTGTTATCTAAAGCATGCTTTAAAAACGGTGTCTTTTCTAACTTGACCAAAATTATGTTTCCATTTTAAATGTGTAGGTTAAGTGAAGTGCATTGAGTGCACTGAAATTAGAGATATGTTGAATTTGTCACTGCATATTGTCCTCAGTTATGACCAAATCCACATGGCTCTGTATTACAAGGAGAAGCGCTTGTGTGCTGACCAGGAACCGAGAGACTCGTCAGATGCAAAAAAAGGTCTCAAAGCTGTCAGCATAAACTTACAGACAATAACAATGGGCGCTCAAACAGTCTTTTAGACTGGATACACACACACAATCCAAAACTGAACAATTATTGCAAATTATTGCAAATAAGGTTGTAACATTTTAACTGTGTGTGTTTTGAGAGAACGACGAGGTGTTTTTCGCATGATGACGCAGAGTAAGACTGAGACAGAGCGGAGTGCCAGAGATGATGTACGGCCTGGTGCAACTGTGAATAGGGCTTTAATTTCCCTGCAAAACGAGGTGATTAAATATACATATGTTTGCCAGGACTGGAGACACCTGCTGCTTAGCTATCCTCTAAAAAGGACTGCCCTGCAAGCAGCTTGGAGGACCGAACTAGGCATGTTTGCTCAACACAGACAGATCAAACAGGAAATAATGGGTTTTATTTTTATATATTTTTTTGTTAATGCAGCTGATATCAAATACAGGCACCTGTCATGAGTTCATAATATAACCTGTGTGACTGTACTGCGAAGACAATAAGTACCTGTAGAATACGATCTCCTTCCTTGATGCGTCCATCTCTTGCTGCTATGCTATTTGGCTCCACCTGCACAAAAGAACATGAAAATCAATGCTGACAGCATCAAAAACATCACTAATGCACAGCTCCCTCACCTCTGCTGTCAGCTAAAACGTCTGTCCTTTTTTTCATGAAGAAGAGCTTATTTCCTCGCCGACAACCTCATATTTTTCTTATGACACAGGTTTGTTTTCACAGGTTCATATATTGTTTAGTAGCTAGTGACTGACACTGACTGAGGTAACATGTAAGTCCTTAACATTATACAAGAGACCATGTGAGTTATAAATAAAAAACTGAAAACAATAAGTCGCAAATGTTTATGGCACAGACATGATTTTATTTTAGTTGAATGAATAAACATCTCATATTTTTCAAAATGCATCCCAGGTGGATTATGCAGCAACAATACAAGCCCTCAAATTTCATGAACTTTGTTGTTCTTGCATTGAAGATCAAGAGAGATAGCGACATGGGCAGAGAAATAAACCCTTGTGGAAATAGAGAAAAGAATTAGGCACTTCCTAAAGTTGCTCTGATGCTATCCATTCATACATTTTAATGAGGGAAATTTGCAATTTTATTCTTTTTTTATCAAACATTTTAAAATAGATGCGTGGGTTTGGTCGGTGGGAGACTGTTTTTATAATCTGTTCAGCAGGTTTTACATTAACAATCATTTTCTTTGTCTGGTTCAAGTAGAGCAGGTGAAAACCAGAGAAATAGCTGGCAGAGTCAACAGATTAATTGATATATAATTCTAAAAAGATTGAAAGAAACTAAATATACTGTAATTCTGTCATTGATATCCCCATAACTGCTCTTACTTTTCACATGCTTGCCTCTTGTTAATACTGGGATTGAAACTGCACCTGCAGTCAGATTGAACATTTTAAAGCACTCATAAGCTCATCATTCATTCAGTTTTTTTTTCCATGTGGAAAAATCATTTGAATTTGAATAAGAATCTCTGTAATACACCCCATCTTTGTTTCGTGTTCTTGGTATTCAGTGGTGGTACAGTAAATGAGTCATTTAACATACTGTGAGGGGGAAAGTGAAGGTTGTCGCTCAGAGCTAATTAAAAAAACCTTCAATTAAAACAAATCAGAGCAGGAGGAATAAGAATGGCAGGACCGGAATCACATTTCAAACCTGACTTCCTCTTTTGCCACGCATCGCTCATTCAGAGTTGATATTTGACTAGCTAACGTTTTTCTCTCCTTCCTCCCTCATTCAGTTCTACTTGCTCTGTGCTTCAGGTTGTAAAGATGGGAATTCAAATGGGATTTCATGCCATCTTTTAATAACTTCCTGCTCCAAAGGAAACTGATCATGGGAACATGTAGCTCTGTCTCTATCAGACCTTAATCGGGGAAGTAGGTAATTGCGTGACCAGAAAAAGCAATTACTACTAAACAGCTAAATGTGATAACACTATTTTTTTACCAATATGTGTGTAGGACCAAATAACGGGAACATCTGTCCCTACCTGGCTGACATAGATGCCGCTGTCCTCCTCATCGTCGGTCCTGTAGCACAGTGTCAAGCCAAGCTTCTCCAGGCTGTTCCGCCTGCACAGCTCCACTTCCTGTTTCACACACAAAAAAAACAATATGTTTTAAACTAGAAATGTTTTCCCATAGTGCACCTGTTATGAGTCATTTTTCCCAATGGATGTGATGGATTCCAAAACCCATATTGTTACAAACAGAGTTTACTCATCTGTTTTGCAGAGCAGCTGAAACAATGCCACCCATGGGAGATGACTTAATTTTTATGCTCTACATCACCGTCACTAATCACTTTGGGGGGGGGGGGGGGGGGGGGGGAGATCGGAAGAGTTTCAGGCATGAGAGAAAAATTTTTTTTATT